CACAGAGGGAAATATTTAGTCAACACCATTTCTACACACACACACACAGGGAAATATTTAGTCAACACCATTTCTACACACACACACAGGGAAATATTTAGTCAACACCATTTCTACACACACACAGGGAAATATTTAGTCAACACCATTTCTACACACACACACACACAGAAATATTTAGTCAACACCATTTCTACACACACACAGAGGGAAATATTTAATCAACACCATTTCTACACACACACAGAGGGAAATATTTAGAGAACACCATTTCATCATGATAGAATGAAGGAACAAACGAAAACAGTTAAGGAAGGCAGGTGGAAGAAATATCTTCCCGAGCTTTAGTATGGGATCGCCACTTTTTATGCTCGCGAAGTTAAATGAGTTCATGAAATAGCCCATGTATTTTGAAATCTGCAGAGAATACGTGCGGATACATAATCGTCTCTAGCTCGGGTGTCATCTGGTGTGGCGCCCAATCGTGTTAGTACACCCAGTGGAATATATATATATTGGCTCTCTTGGCCAAAGTCCGAAGAGCTTAAATTTAACAGCGTATTGCATACTCTTCTCACTTTTCTTTTTTGGGTTTTCTGATTCATGCTTTGTGCTAAATAACCGTTTTTACTTTCTCGTATACGAAGTATAGAAGTAGTATTGTAGAGGGAGTATTGTTATCGTGCAAAAATAAAAAAAAATATCTAATTCTCTGCCTTCTTTCAAATCTTGAGTAAATTCCGTTTACCGGAGTTGGTACTTTACGCTATTTACGATTTCTCATTAAACGCATTTGAATTTATAAAATACTAATATTCCGCACTATTATACACACATTGTTTGCTGTTAACTTTGTGCGAAATTCCTTTTTCTACGAGATTTTGTTCTATTTTAAAAAGCTTAAGTAATTAAAAATTGATTAAAAATCATGTCTATATCTCGTGATACCATCCCCAGTAGTGTTATATAAATATATTTGAGAACGTTTAGGGGAGATCACTCCCGCTTTATTTAATTAAGTATTGACTGCCCTATTAGGAAATATATATATATATATATATATATATATATATATATATATATATATATATATATATATATATATATATATATATAATTCTCTTCTTAGATACCTAGAAAACTAGCTGTAAGCGCGCCTAGCAGTCCCCTCTCTTCCTCTCTAGGCATGTCAGCTACCACCCCCACCCCACATGGTCTGGTGTGCTGTGGTTCACGCTAAATGTTTACAATCGTAGAGCCGGGTTTAGTGACGCCTATTAGGGGCAGATAATTTAGTTTGAAACGATTTTAAACTTAGGGGAGGTAACCAAGAGGAGGCTTACGAATAATTGAATCACGGGGATGGGAGTAGGGTAGGAGTTGGGGGAAAGGAGGGTGGAATGGGGGGTATCGTCCTTAACGACCTACTGATAGTGTTTTAATGCAAATATTTTCAGTGGCAGCATTGGTACTGTCGAGTTCACAAATTATGAATTACTGAAAAGTAGAAAATAAAACAACTAAATAGCGGCGTGTGATACGCCGCGGGTCGGCTCGTAACTACTATTGTTGCTCGGAAATTGCTCACCAAATGCACTAATGAACTTCATCTTTGAAGAATTTGCTTCATTTTCATGAACTATACATCAAATCAACAAATTATTATGCATTATTAATTTAATTTCACAGCTATTTGAAAAAACTTTAGTATAAATCTTAAAGGAGTTTATTTTTTAACCAAAAAGTTTTTTTTTTGTGTAGTCAAAGAACAGGGGAAAGTTAAAGTTTAAATGCATGATGCAGTCACGTCTCTTTAATAGGTACAATTGAGCGGTTTAACGGCTCATTGTCAAGTTTGTGTCGCTCTGCATGGGTCGATCTAATTCAAGCACTTTCATACATTATATAGCTTATCTAAGGACGCGGTCAGTCTAGGTCGCTTTTCGGTCACTTTGTACTCCATTGAGATTGTTCTAATTTCCCCGTCAAAATGAGAGTAAAAAGCTTACTTTGCCAAGAATATTATATATATATATATATATATATATATATATATATATATATATATATACAGTGGCGTAGTCAGGATCGTCTTAAAGGGGGGGGGGGGGGGTTCCAATTTTTACCCGGGGACAAACTTTCGATTTGCACACCCCCCCCATCAAACTTTCGATTTGCACTCCCCCTCAAACTTTCGATTTGCACCCCCCCCTCAAACTTTCGATTTGCACTCCCCCCTCAAACTTTCGATTTGCACCCCCCCCTCAAACTTTCGATTTGCACACCCCCCCCCCCATCAAACTTTCGATTTGCACTCCCCCTCAAACTTTCGATTTGCACCCCCCCCTCAAACTTTCGATTTGCACCCCCCCCTCAAACTTTCGATTTGCACTCCCCATCAAACTTTCGATTTGCACCTCCCCCTCAAACTTTCGATTTGCACCCACCCTCATACTTTTTATATATACCTGCCTACGCCACTGTATATATATATATATATATATATATATATATATATATATATATATATATATATATATATATATATATATATATATATATATATATATATATATATATATATATATATCCCACATCGTCACAAAATTCTATTGTTATCAATATTCGATGTATTTAAAATAAAGCAGAAGTGATATCCACTAAACTTTCCAGCATATTAGGGCCTACATCTTTTTTTTTATAAAGACCTTATAATAATAAGCCTTTATGTCTTCTATACTTTTCTATTTTACTTTTAGCCGCTCATTTTTTACTGTCGAAACATAACTTTGAATATGAATTTTTAAAAATACCCTATTAAAATATCCCATTCAAATACACCATTAAAAATACCCCATTAAAAATACCCCATTAAAAATACCCCATTAAAAATACCCCAATAAAAATACTCCTTTAAAAATATACCCCTATAAAATACCCTACTAATCACATTACCAATCAATTCTACATTTAATTTAAGATTTAATTTACCGATGTAAGGCAAAATTAAAGAAGACAACCTTCAAAATCAAATTTACAGATATTGTTATGATGGAGTTCCCCCCCCCCCCTCCTTACAGGCACATACCTTGACTATTGGAGGATGTTATTTGATATACTTGATTGTTTTGATAAACTTAATTAGTATATGATACACTTGATACGTTACATTTCGCGTACGAAAATCAAATATTTATTTACAATCGCCATTTATTGGTTTATCTCAATCCATTTCGTTGTATTTCGTTTCATAATTTAGACAAAGTAATGTATGTACTATGTTTACGCGTCAGTATGTGCAAACATGAATCCCCATAATTAAAGCTTTTGAACTCCAACACTTATTAATTCAAATGGAAAAAGATTGTTTTTATAGTAAGTTATTAACTGTGGTGTCATCCATACCTACACAATACATGTTTTCATGTGTAAATTATGCAAATTTTCCATTTGATGATGGCTTTAAACTGTAGACAGTATCATAAGATGATTTTGTATGCTTTCTCTAGAATTTGCATGATGTCGACCCCCCCCCCCCCCCCCACCCCAAAGAGGCGTAGCGACAACTCCAGCGCCCGGGGCGAACTTACAATTTGGCGCCCTATGGATGGATGGACGGATGGACGGATGGACGGACGGATGAGCGGATGGACGGATGGACGGACGGACGGATGGACGGATGGACGGACGGATGAGCGGATGGACGGATGGACGGACGGACGGATGGGCGGATGAACGGACGGACGGACGGACGGATGAGCGGATGGACGGACGGACGGACGGACGGACGGACGGACGGACGGACGGACGGACGGACGGACGGACGGATGGATGGATGGATTGATGGATTGATCGATGGATTGACCGCCAGTTAGTAATTGTGAAGATGCGATGGTTCGTACTGATTTTTCTCAGTGCCAACGGACGACAATGAGAGCAGTTTTAGAACACCATGTTCCGTTCCTAGGTTGTAGAAAGCGCACTTGACGCTCATGATAACTTCAACTTCGGGTATCACCGCGACCTCTGTCAACATCTGGTATACGGATGTGTACATTATCTCCCACTTCAGCTTGTTTAAAATTTATATCCGATTTTGTTAGCATCTTAGCACCTTGAGTTTGCAAGCCAGTATGAGCTGCTGACCTGTTGTCCATGATTTTCTTGTTTATTGTGACATAATCTGCAGGTAATATTCCCTCCGTACCCTTCGTCTGCTTTATTAGATATTCCGCATATTGCATGGACATCGTTGCCACAGGATCCACAAGAATAGGCTGCACTACAAACTTTTTCACAAACTATACAGAATCTGTTGGCCACATTATTGTCACGCAACTGGTCTGGACGTTCCGCCACGGCAGCAGATGTGTTAGCTGAGGATGTCGTTGCATTTATGGCAACCTCCATTTCTTGTTCAATGTTCTCAAGATCTTCCTCGGTAAATAAATTATCGAGAGCCTCTCTTGGCAGATTTGAAGTATTAAGCCCCACCCTTTTGCTTTGCATCCAAACAAGGCTTCACATGGCGATTGTTAAATTCCTTGAAGAATAGAACATTTTTTCATAAATTGAATGAATTTGAGACTCTCAGCCCAATGAGCTGATTCATCTGTCTACATCCATGTCATCATCATGTTTTGAACATCTTGGTTAGCACGTTCTACTAAACCTTGGCTTTGGCTATGTCTTGGTTTTCCGTGAACTAGTTTAAGTTCAGTCTACATGTTTTAGTCCAGAAATAACTTGATTCACAAATTCTCTTTGGTATTCACTTTTTGTTAGCGAAATATGACGCCCGCGTCAACTCAAGTCGCTTGGACACCATTGTTCACTTTACAAGGATAGCATCGACCGCGGCAATTCTTTTGAACGTTTCGTCTTGTAGCAGGCGGCTGGTGAGGCCGACTGTTTTTTATTTTGTTCTTTGATGATTGTCTCACCTTGACATCATGGAGGAGGCTATCGCATACAATTGGAGCCCATATATCGAAACTAACAAGGATTTAGATTTTTTCTTTTTGGCAGCAGTCTGGTATGTCTGTCCGTTTATCTGACGGCCCTTTTGGTCCATTTCGAATTGCATATAAAATGCTATACAAACAAGAGCCAAACTACGTCACTCACAATGGAACCGCACCCGGAATAATAAAAACGTCCCGGCCAGTGAGCGCATTGGCCGGCCAATGTACGAAATACGCTCTCACTGCTAAACTCTTCGGGCTTTGGCCAAGATAGCCGGGTGTGCTTTGACCGCACTATGGGCTTTGACCGTAACATATATCTTATATTGTGTGTGTGTGTGTGTGTGTGTGTGTGTGTGCCGCCGCGCGAAAGTCCGCAAAAGATTAAGTAATTACCATCCATGATTTTTGTTTCATAAAACTTTACTCGACGCGAATTGGATTCCCTTAAAAAAAGATTAGTAATGTCATAACAAATAAGCCTGAATTTGGTTAAGAGGTTAAGTTATTGCAGGCCCTAATTTGTTTAGATTACCCTATTATGTTCTATATTTGGAACAGTCTCTGTTATGCTATGTTACATAGTTGGATTATAAGTTTGATAGACTAAGTTCATACAAGTGATACACAATTGCAAATTATAAGAAACGTTTTTTTGTGCACATTGGAATACGACATGGGTATTTTGTTGACTGGTTGTTTGAATAATGAAACAAGCTAACGAAAATTCAATCAGGATCTATAGCTAAATATAAAGGTTTATTTTTTACTGTTTTGCTCGAAGTTAGGTGGATAATGAAATAAGAGCATTGAAAAGGCACAGTATCAGAAAGACAGTAAATAACATCAGTAAGTAGGTGCTGGTGTAAAGTCCACGGGGTAAGAGGAGGAGGAGACAAAAAAGTCCTGAAGGAAATCGTTTGAAATAGAGATGGGGGAGGCTGGGAGGCTGGATTATTAGGGCCCAATCTTCATAACGAGGCTGGATTATTAGGGCCCTATCTTCATAACGAGGCTGGATTATTAGGGCCCTATCTTCATAACGAGGCTGGATTATTAGGGCCCTATCTTCATAACGAGGCTGGATTATTAGGGCCCTATCTTCATAACGAGGCTGGATTATTAGGGCCATGTCTTCATAACGAGGCTGGATTATTAGGGCCCCATCTTCATAAAATTGTTGGCTAAGCCTGGGGCTCCTTATGAAACTAATAAAGAAGAAAATCAGAAGAGTTTGGAGCAGTGGTTCTTAACTTGGATTCGATCGGACCCAAGAGGTTCGGTAAGTCAGTCTAAGGGCTTCGGCGGAGGTCAAGACACACACCCTACTCATATGATTCACGATCAGATTTTGTCAATGTGGACGATACAACTGTTAAGAAGGATTCGGTGAATACGCATATGAAACTGGTGGGGTTCGGGGTGAATGGAAAAAAAGTCACAGGAAAAAAACACAAAAAGAAAGTCACAGTTTTTGCTAGAAAAAAAAAGTCACAGAAAAAGTCACAAAAATCTTATAACAAATCTTTTGATATAATTGTAAAGAATTGTAAAATTGTGGGTATTTATTTATGTGGGCGTTATTGTTTTTTTTTGGTAGTATAATCATAAACTTTAAAAAGCATTATGGTTTATAACGATAGGTAAAAGTACTATAAAATATTGTGCACAACTATCTCCAGTTTCGTTACGTTTTTAGTAGAATACGCGGTAGAAAATTTATTATAAAAGAAATGTAGGCACATCATTGTATTTGCATTTTGTTTTTACAGTAGGCCTTTCTTTGTGGGCTTCTCCTCAATTGGCCTTGTCCGTCCATATTGTGTGTTGATGACGTTTCGCGTCAATGACATCCTTTAAACCTTTCTGTTTTGATCACATGCTTTATTATGTAATGATCATGATAAATGTGGGCACGAAAGGTGGTTGAACAATTGTTGCTATGAGTTTATAAGTGAGGACAGCAAGTCACATTAACTACGCCTCTACGCCATTTCAAGCTAATTTAAATTTAGTAGTTTATAAACACGATGAAAACGGAAAAGGTTGAAGCATTCTATTAAATATTATAAGTATAACGGAATTAAAACCTACATTCTTTATACTAAATATTTTTACGTGTGTCATACATCTTACTATATCTATACAACATACGCACATACATCTAAAATCTTTATATTACATATGAATCGTAAGTTGATTTGAACTTTCTGAATATTAATATTTAATACATAAAAGTATTAAATTCCACCCAAATAGCCTACTTATTTGTTTCCTGTGTTTTTTTTTCTATGACTTTTTTTTTCCTTTAATCGGGGTTCGTGACCTCTAAATAATTAAGAAGCACTGCTTTAGAGTGTAGTTTATAGAAGGTGCTAGCACTGCTTTAGAGTGTAGTTTATAGAAGGTGCTAGCTGATTTGGTCTACTTTTGGCCATGTCTTTAGAACAATTTCGTTACTAGTATATCAGTTTAAATTGTCATATTTAGGTTGAACAAAGTAAAAAAGCAATAGCAATCGTAGTGTTGTACCAGTATACCTAGTGAACTATATTATTATTGCAGTCTTAGGACTTGTTATGAAACAAGCAATTAACACATTTTCTATTCGGTACAATGTACTCATTTTCTAGTAAACAGGTTTATTACGTAATTTAAAATATAGAAAGCCGTGTTATATTTTTCTCAGCTCTTAAAATGTCGACCAAAGATTATCGGCTTCAGCCAACCGCTCAGACCATATGCTATTTGACTGATCGGATAGCGATACAATAATCCGTGATATCGTAAATCCAGTGGATCCAGGCAAAAGGTATCAAGTAGATGGATCTGATCTCTCACGTTGAAGTTGAGAGAATCGCAAGAATTGTGCAATGAACTAGTCGCGTCATTTCTTAACACAACTGGCTAGTGAGATAGTACATTACGCGTTATTATGATAGATTTCTATTTGAAGTGTTTAACGAGTTATCTCCTCACCATTCCATTTAGTTGTCCCCCCCCCTCCCCACAATTGATTCATATTCTAAAAATTTAAGAGAGTTATCTACGCACCAACCTAGTACAACGATTATATATATATATATATATATATATATATATATATATATATATATATATATATATATATATATATATATATATATATATATATATATATATATATATATATTTATATATATATATATATATAAAGGCCTATATATATTTATTTATTTATTTATTTATAGTCCTATATATTATATCTTTATAGGCCTATATATTTATATACAGGCCTATATATAAATATAAATATAAATATATATATATATATATATATATATATATATATATATATATATATATATATATATATATATATATATATATTATATATATATATATATATATATATATATATATATATATATATATATATATATATATATATATATATATATATATATATATATATATATATATATATATATGACTATATAGGCTTATATATTTATCTGTATACTATAGGGCCTACATGTATTGACATATATATTTTTTTCTATTTGAATATCTCGTAGAGTCCAGAATTTTAATCCTAGAATTCTCAGCGTTTATTTCAACTACATTTTATTGACCCCTTGACACTTAGTAAACCACCCACGCAGTCCCACACACTCCGACACACCGACGTAATACTACGCCGAATTGGTCGTGTTTCCCTTCTCCGACACACCGACGTAATACTACGCCGAATTGGTCGTGTTTCCCTTCTCCGACACACCGACGTAATACTACGCCGAATTGGTCGTGTTTCCCTTCAAATCGTTGCTCGGCGGTACCTGCCAAAGTCCACTCAATGAGTTCAGCCTCTCTCCGTGGACTGTTTCCCCACGCACCCATCCCTCCATCCCTCCACCCCATGCACCCCTTCTCCTCCCCACCTCCCCACCCCACCTCTCCACTAGCCTATTAGGCGATGAGTGGAGGTGAAGTTTTTACCTACCTCAGCGCTCCTAAATCAGATGAACGGGGAGAACACACACATAGCAGAACACGCGAGATGCTCGCCTACACTGGCTGGGACAACGGCGGCCCAATCTTTCTTGCTCGCTCTCATAGACACAAGTAAGGCGGCTTTCTTACATAGTACACACACACACACACACATCATATATATATATATATATATATATATATATATATATATATATATATATATATATATATATATATATATATATATATAGGCTAAGTATTATCAATAAGAATATTCCATTGGATAGTTTGAAAAAGATGATTGCCTTGACTTATTAACTATTAAAAACATTAGCATTGTATTTATAACATTCTCCTTTATTTCATATTTTAAAATAAGTCTATTTTAAAATATTTAAAGTCTAACACAACAATTAAAATATTTGATAATAAAGGATTGGACGGTTCAAATCAAATGGCATCACATAGAATAGTTTGTTTGTTATTACAAGTCATACCTTGGTAATTTAAGTCAAAATCGTTCAAAGATATTAATTTCCTTTACCACACGTGGTATTACATATTACACATTTTACTCTAGGCTTATATATAACATACTTGAAATTATATAACATACACTTGACTTTGGCATTACTTTTTACACACCGAGCATTACATATTACACACTGCATTACATATTACACACTTGATATTAAATACCTGCTAACACTTGTAAGTTGTATGCAAAAGCGGTTTAGTGGTGTTTGTTTTTAAAATACTTATCCTTAATAAAACCAACAATAGATATCATGAACAGACAGACCGATAGAGATAGATAGATAGATAGATAGATAGATAGATAGATAGATAGATAGATAGATAGATAGATAGATAGATAGATAGATAGATAGATAGATAGATAGATAGATAGATAGATAGATAGATAGATAGATAGATAGATAGATAGATAGATAGATAGATAGATAGATAGATAGATAGATAGATAGATAGATAGATAGATAGATAGATAGATAGATAGATAGATAGATAGATAGATAGATAGATAGATAGATAGATAGATAGATAGATAGATAGATAGATAGATAGATAGATAGATAGATAGATAGATAGATAGATAGATAGATAGATAGATAGA